TTAGTTTTTTTGTTTTTTTTTTTTTTTTTTTTTTTTTTTTTTTTTTTTTTTTTTTTGGGTAAATAAGATAATCGCGAGCGCATTATCGTACAGCGCGAACTCCCATTCTTACGAAAGGTTAAACTACCAAGCGTATAGGATGGCGAGCTCTTTCAATCGCTCTTTTTTAACCGCGACAAATCGTCTCGAGAAAAGGAACAAATGAAATAATCGGCGAGAAAAGAACTTTCACAAATACTCTCTCGGCCTGGGCGGTGGTCTCTTACGATCGGGTCTCTCGGCGGTCCTGTCCGCGGCGGTCCTGTCGGTGGGTCCTCCGCCACTCGAGTCCCGGTCGTCGGTGCACTCGAGCATCTGCGTGGTTTCCGTAGCTTCCGATGGACTCATCGGCTGCGTAGCGAGAGGGGCGAGCGGCGCGGCACCCTTGTTGCGCGATTTGCTGCGTCGCTTGCGCAGGATAAGCGGTCCCAGGGCACTCGAGTCGTCACCGCGTGACGTAGAGGCTTGTGCCAGCCGTTCCAACAGCTCCTTGCTGACGTCTCGGGATGACGATGACTGATGGTGATGGTGGTGATGATGGTGGTGCTGCTCCTGGCCGCTCTTCGATACGCGCTCCGTCGCGGTCGACTGCTCTCGATAACCCTCGCTCGGTATCGTGGACGTAGACGTGGTAGCGATCGACGGCCTGTGCTCGGTAGTTTGAGTCGCGGATTGGACCAACGTCACCGCACTCGGAGTGACAGGTGGCTGACTCTGCACGCCGCTCAGAGTTAAGCTCGGGATCTTCTGTTGCTGAGAACTGCCGCCGCTACCGCTGGACGATGGCGTTCCGGCGGCTGGCAACTTGTTCATCAACGCCTGCAGCATGTCCTCGATCTTAGCCAGCCGTTGATTCACCCTCTGCACCTCTAGCTTCAGATCCACCTTCACTTCTAATACCGCGGCGAAAATCTCCCGCTCCTGGCTTGGTTGCTGCGTAATCAGACCACCATCGTAGCTCTCAAGACGTCGAAGTTGCAACTGCTTCGAATCCACTCCGTGAGTCTGTTGTTGTTGTTGCTGCGCCTGCTGTTGCTGTTGCTGCTGCTGCTGCGCATCCTTCGGATTTTCGTTATCGGCGCCTTCCTCGATCGTGCCTCCCAATTTTCCAAGCTTCGGAAAGACCTTATTGGTGCCAACGCTCGATCCCGGACGTGGATCTCTTGCGCTGAAAGAACGCTTGAACGTGTCGCCGGCTGTGCCCGATTCGCTACCGGAATCTACACTTGAGCTACCTGTAACAATTAAAAATTTTTTAGATATCATTGTCATAAATAATTTCTTTTTCAATTGTTCTTAAATTTCCATGTTTTTCAATCAAACGTATTCTATGCTTCTAATTAATTTAATTGCAATTAAAATTAACAAAAAATAGTTTTCAATCTTACCTACCTAATAAACGTCCCCATTTGCCCGGTCTCGTTTTCGGTACGGTAACGGTCGTTCCACCTTCTTCGGCGGTGGATGCTTTCTTAGCGTGGGACGTTTCGCCATCCTTGGCATCTTTACCGTCACCCTTTTCTACGTCGGCAGTGTGCTGCCTTTCGCGGCGGAACCTACACGAAATTGAAGGAGAAACGAATTCGCCTTTATTTTCCGATATACCGGCAATTTATAATATGTATACAGAATATATTTACACACGAAGGAGATAAGATACGATAAAGGCTGGTTATTCCCTAGACAAATGAACCAGGGCAGCAAAGTACAAATGCATAATAGTAGAGGGGCAAAAGTGTGGTGAAGGGGTGCTGGACAAAAGACCATTCTCACGTGAAAAACCTGACTTGCCTATTTTACTATATCGTACATAAATCCAGTCGAGTTTCATTTTCTCTTCCGGCCCGATTGAATCTACGGTGCATCCCCGAACTAGTTCGAGGTCAAGCTAATCGGGTTTATCGTTGCAGCGTAGAATGCAGTCGCCTACTGTCTAGAAAAAAGAAGGCGGCCTCGGCTGGTTGGCGGTCGAGCGACCTACGGTGCGACGTGCCTACGGGATCCACGGCGGTGGTGGATGACGTTGGCAAGACATACAGGAGGAAAATGAAAAACGTTGGTAAACGTTGGCCGATAAAAAAAAACACACAACCGTTAATTTGCCATACAAAAATTCTCACAGAAATCACTAGTTTTCTAGGAGAAGTACTTTCTTGAGCAATCAGAACACGTTCTCATACGCTACCAATAACCTGAATTTGAACTTGAACTTTGAGCTTGTTTTCCAGCTAAACTTATGCAAGCTTCTCACGTGCTACAACTTCTTAATTCAACTGAAGGATCGTGAGGATATGCTATTTAGGACGCTTTTAAAAAAGACAATTTTACAGATCTTCTCTTCACGAACTTTTGTATCTTCTTTTTTTCTCGGATTTGAGTGTAAAAGTGATATTTTTAATATAAATTGAAGAAACGTAGAAAACATTTCTTAGTATAAATTTTAACATCCTTATTGAGTTAATAATAAATTCTATATTTGCAACATATTGATGTTAATAATTTAATAGTATCTTTTTATGCTTGATATATTAAAAAAAATGATATTAAAATTATATTAAAATTTTTCATAGCTGCATCTATTCACGCACAAAATATTGAGCTATATCAAATTTATTGATGGTAGAATTTATTGAATTAATAAATTAATAAAATTATTTAACAATAATATAAATTATCAGCAAACAATTAATGATTTTTTTAAAAATCATTCTTCAGTAAAAATTTAATGATTTTTAAAATCATTCTTTAAAGAGAATCTCATACAGCATTGATTAACGTCGACCAACGTTTTTTTTCTTGGCATATTATCTTTCGGAACGATAACAACACCGGGATGAGAAATTGCCCAACAAATTTCGGGAATGCCACTTTGTCGAATATATTAAACGTAACGAATTAGCTGCGTTATAATAATTAATTATTAACGCTGTCACAGCATCTTTGTGAAATATGACTCGCGTAAGCAGTGGAAAATGTTATTAAAATCGCATTGCGTGTCAAAGTTTTTCTCGGAAATTAATCAATCAACGATTTATATATACAACTTTTATTACCTTTCTCTTCAAAAGTATATTAAAATATTAAAATGTCATCATGCATCCAATCAAATTAATAAAAATATTATTAATCTTTCATGTTCAATTAAGTGAAAACATATTATTGATTAAAAAATCTGCGTATGTGTATAATAAACAACAAATATTTGTATTACTTAATATTATTATTATTATTATTATTATTATTATTATTATTATTATTATTATTATTAATTATTATTATTATATATATAATA